TGGATTTTGTTTTTTTTTTCCAAAGCACTACTCTTTTTCTCTTCAGTAATGCATTTAAGCCATTCACGTTCAGTGTAATTATTGAGAGGTAGGATTTTATTGCTGTCATTTTGTTCAATTCTTTTTGGTGTTGTTGCTAGTTAGTTTGGCCCATCCTGTTTTCTGTGGCATCTCTGTATAAAGGATGTCTCTCAGTGTAAGGCTGATCTTGTTTTTACAAACCACGTTAGGTTCCGTATTTCTGAGAATATTTTGATCTCTCCTTCGTACTTGATGGACAGTTTTGCAGGGTACAGTATTCTTGGTTGAAAGTTGTGTTCTTTAAGTGTTCGCTATATGCCATTCCATTGTCTTCTTGCTCGCACGGTTTCTGCTGAGAAATCAGCACTTAATCTTATCTGTTCTCCCTTGTAGGTTACTTTTTGTTTCTCTCTCATTGCTTTTAGTATTCTCTCCTTATCTTTGGTTCTAGCAAATTTGACAATGATATACCTTGGTGTTTTCCTTTTAGGGTCTATTCTATATGGCGTTTGCTCAGCTTCATGAATATATATTCTGTCATTCTTCATTATGCCTGGAAAGTTTTTGTCTAGTAATTCTTCCACAACTTTTTCAGTGCCTTTACTTGTTTTTCCTGTTCTGGGGTTCTAATGATGTGCATGTTATTTCTTTTAATGATATCCCACATTATTCTTAAGTTTTCTTCTGTTTCTTTCTTTTTGGATTCTGCATTTTTCTTGGTCAGATCTGTGGTGACAATTCTATCTTCTATTTCACTGATTCTGTTTTCCATCTCTTCTCCTCTATTCGTATGTCCCTCCATCATGTTGACAGCATCAGAAACCTTAGATTTCATATTTTGGATCATGGTTTCTTATTTTTCCTGTGCCTCTCATGCTTAGTTTGTTTTCTCTGTGTTGTTTTGAATTGTTTTTTTAGCTCCTCCTGATTTTTGCTAGCACTGTCCTGTAATTCATCAAGTTTCTTTTTCATCCATTTAAAATATTCAATCATTGTTCAGGAAATCTATTGCTACTGTGTCTTCTTTGGGGGGTGATATCTTGCTTTGGGCTTGTGGGACAAGTGAAGCACCCTGCTTTCTATGGGCCATTTATGTGGCAGAGTTTTCCATGTCTGAAGTGGTAGCTGATTTTTGATTTGACGTCACTGCTCCAGGAGAAGGTTGGGCAGGAACAAGAGCAGATGCGTGTAGGGTGTGTACATACTCCAATGCTCGTGTGAGTGGGGAGGGAAGAAGCACACACTGATACATACCAGGAAGGGGGAGGAGGAAGGGGAATGTAAATAATGAAGGAGGAAGAATAATTGCATTTTGCAAATACTTTTCCTAAAAGATACAAAAGATAACTTTACACGTGAATTTCACCTAATGGGCTGCATAGGAATCAGACTACATTTGTGGAAGAAATTTTTGGGGAAGTTCAGTATCAGCAGTCAAAACTAGGCCAAGGGCAGATCATCAATTACTCATATGCAAGTTCAACGTGAGGGCAAAGAAATTAAAATAATTGATAAGTGTGAGGTCATTCCTATTGTGTCTGTGAAAGTTGTTGTTGGTTCTTGCCTTTATAATATTACTAATTGTTTGCCAAGTTAAAATGCAGTGAGCTATGCACTCCACTGTAAGTCCTTTTGGAGAAAATTTGCTTTTCCTAAAGTTCTTGAAGTTCTCCCTGTTCTGCGCTTAAGCCCTGTGTGAGTCTCACCTTGAAGTAGTCCCCTGACACCAATTCTAGGCCTCCTTCATGTATGAATTGGCTGAGTGGTGTGAGACCAGGTGTTCTACTCAAGCAGTTTCTCATGCATCTTTTCTCTTAGAGCTTAGTGTCTTCCTCTCCCTCTCCCTCTGTCCCTTCCTCTCTCCCTCCCTCTCCCTCTCCCTTTCCCTCTCTTTATCCCCCATACAAAAATTTTCCTCTGCTTCACGTTCTGTATACTAAAGTCTCTTGTCCTGTTTAGCCCTTTGAAGGCCCTGAAGAGTTAGAGGCAAGGACCCCCAGGAACACCTCATTCCCATCTCCCCACAAGCAATGGAGAAAGCTCACTCAGCACAGAGTCTCACCTCTCTTCACCTTTTCTCTTCCAGCTTAGTCAGATTGCATAGCTTCTTGTCTTTCCTGGTATTGTTAGTTGCCATCAACTCAAGCACAACTCAAACCCTTTGAAAACCAGATCAAGACCTTGTTGTATCCTGTATCACCCCCATGATCTCTGCCATGTTCAAGCCCATTATTGGAGTCACTGTGTCACTCCATCTCCTTGAGGGTTTCCTTCTCTTTTTTCTGACCTTCTGTCTTTCCCAGAATGATGTCTTTTTCAAAGCATTGTCCCCCCTTGACAACATGCTCAAAGTATGTGAGATAAAGTTTCAACATCCTTACCTCTAAGGAACACCCTTCCTCTGTCTTCCTTATTCATTGTTTAACTTTCAGATACTTATAAAGCAGTCAAAAATGCCATGCTTTGAGTCAGACATTACTTTATTATTTAGCCTGATGTATTTGCTCTTTCTGCACATTTGAGAGGTCCTTGACATCAAATGTTCCCAATGTAACATGCATGTCTTTTGATTTGTTGACTGCTCCTGCTATGGGTTTGATTGTAGGTTCACAGAAAGTAAAGCAGTTGACAACTTTAATCTTTTCTCCATCTGTCATGATATTGTCTGTTGACTACTGGAAGACTTGAAACACTATTATCACAGACTACAGATTTCAATATGGATTCATTATGTAATAAAAGACTACAGCCTTGAATATGGGTTACATCTCAACATCAAGGAAACAAAATCCTCATCATTGGACCAATAAGTAACATCATGATAGAAGGAGAAAGATTGAAACTGTCAAAGATTTCATGATAGCAGAGAAATTTTATTAAAAAAAAAAAATAATTTTTTTTGTGTCCTTCTCCCCTTCCCCAAAGGAGCTTGTTACTCACAGGTGATGTTCTTTGTTTTATGAGCTGATCTATTACTTAGCTAGAAGAAAACCTCCTAGAGTAATTTTGGTTTAGTATTTAAAATAGCTCAGGGCCCTCTACCCTCAACCAGAGCAGTTAATTCTGGACTCTTAAGAATTTGAGTTAGGTTCTCTTTCTGTTGGGATCCACCTAGTGTGGTCCTGATGAGAATGACAGCCATTTAGCTCGCCTCGTCTCAGAGTAGATGAAGCTCATGCAGTAGATGGTTCATGCAGACTCTTCATACTGTAGATTGTTACAATCTTCTCTGAGTCTTTGGCTTCTTTCTTTCTTTTTTGTCCCAGATGAATAAAGACCAGAAATTAGTAGTATATTAGTTGTAGATTGTGCTTTTGAGGTTTATCCAAGTTGTAGCATGTATTAGTATTTAATTCATTTTTATTGCTGAGTAATATTCCACTATATGGGTATATCACATTTTGTTTTTGTGTATATCAGCTGACATTTTCTAGTTTCTGGTTATGTCTAGTACTGCTATCCACATTTGCGTCCATGTCTTTATATGGACATGGGGTTAATTTTTCTTGATGTTATTCCTAGCCATATTTCTGAATCATTTGATAATTATATGTTAAGCTTTATAAGAATTTGCCAAACTATTACACAAATTTACCCACCAATGATATATGCAGGCTCCAATTTCCTCATGCCTTTGTTAACTTTTGTTACTTGATTTTTGTCATGGCTATCGTAATAGGTCATCTCACTATGGTTTCAATATTAAAGATGTTTTATGTTATTGTTAACCATGTTTCTGGCTTTGGAGAAAGGACTGCTTGATTTCTGGCTATATTGTAATTGAATTATTTATCATCTTACTGAATTACAGGATTTTTTCATATATTCTAGATACAAGTCTTTCATTAGACATGTGATTTGAAAATGTGTTATCTCAGATTCCTGTTTTTCTTTTTATTTATTTAACATTTTTATTGTGGTAAAATATATACAATAAGACATTTTTTCAGTTTGATCAATTTTGATGATTGATTATGTTCCCGTGTTGTACAACTATACCTATTATTCATTTTCAAGTTTTTCATCAATCTTAACAGCTACTGAGTCCCCCTTAAACAATATGTCCTCATTTTTCCCCTTTTTGTCTGCCCCTCCTGACCACTAATGAACTTTATAGTCTCTATACCTTTGTCTACTGTAAATATTTTACAAATTACAATATTTGTCCATTTGGTCTGCCTTCACTCAGCATAATTTTTTCAGTAGTCATTCATTTTAGAACATTTATCAGAACTTATTTTCTTTTTGTATGAACAATATTCTGTTGTTAAACATTTACTATCTTTTAATCAGTAATCTATTAATGGACATTTGGGTCATTGTCATCTTTTTGATCCATTTGGGGTTGAATCTGAGAACTCTTTGCTTAAATCAAGGTTATCAGGATTTTCTTCTAAAAGTTTATTGGTCTTACATGTAAGTCTATGGTTCTTCTTAATACATGTGGTGTGAGGTAAGTGTTTGTCATGGCTGAATTGTGTCCCCTCAAAAATGTGTGTTGTAAGTTCTAGCCCATAGATGTTTATGACTGTAACCCTGTTTGATATAATTCTTTGTTACTTGAAGAAGTATCAGTATAAAGTGTGTCTTAAACTAATCATATTAGAGAGAGAAAAGATCAGAGTAGACACAGTAGAAGACACATGCAGAGAGATAGGGGGCCCACATGAAGAAGCAGGCTGGTGTGTGGATCCAGGGACACTCTGAACCCCTACTTCTAGCCTCCAAGATTTGAGGATAACTCTATTTGTTAAAGTCACTAACTGGGCAGATAAACAGCCTTTTAGTCTTCCCCAGGGGCTTCCCCAGTCACCATCAATGTGTTAGGGGTTTAAAAAAATTTTTTTTGGGTGTGCATTTTAATGATTTGTCAGCTGAATGGCTGGTGGTTTGGGAAAATCTGCTTCGTCTCTGGTTGTGTAGCTTATGAAACACAATTTGATGGCCCTTAGAGACCCCAGGCCCTCTCCTCCCTGAAGGTAGCCTCTGTGGTGATGGCAGTGGGATCTGCTACATGCTACCCATCTTGGATACCGCATTTATCCGGAGACAGCATCGCCGCCAGGGCCTGGCCATGGCCCTGCTGCAGGACTTCTGCAAGACATTCCAAGAAGATGAGGCACTGGGTATCAGCTGCCCCATTTCTGCAGCCATGCTCCAAGGTAAGACCTCAGTGTTGAACTCTTGGGTGAGGTGGTGATGTGTGTGCGTGTTCCGGGTGGTGTCTGCCATTAGCCTGGGGTGTGCAGACCTCAGCACTGGCCACACAGGGTTTCCTCCTTCTGTAAATTCCCATTTCATTCTAAATCTAGATTCTAGGTTCCCTTACACGAAGCAAGCCTTTCACAGTCTGGGGGGGAAATTGATTTGGAAATAATAAAAATCAAATAATGATAGAGAGAACAAAATCCACAGAACTGCCACCATGCTGTGGATGGCTACTGGTGCCCAGACACCTGGCTCTGCCTTTTCGCCTGGGAGCCATCAGAGAACCAGGAGCTGGGAAAAGGGAGGGGGCAGCAGTGCAGGGCTCCTGGAAGCTCCCCTCACACAGGAGGGACCCCTCTCTACCTTTCCACATACAAGAGGAGACCCCTGTCCCGCTATTCACAACAGTAAGCACCATTTCCATCTCTCCCCTCAACCTCTCTATGCACAGGAGAGACACCCCTCTACCTCTACCTCTACCTCCCCCCCAACAGGAAGGACTACCTGTATCTCTTCCCACACAGGAAGGACCCCCCTCTATCACCTTACACAAGAGCAGACCTCTCTACTTGTCCCCTCTAGGAAGGACTACCTCTATTTCTCCTTAAACAGGAGTGACCGACCTCCTGTACCTCTCTCCACACAAGGGGGATGCTACCTCCCCTCATAACATGGAGTACCACCTCTATCTCTCCCAGTGCAGCAATGACTCTCCTCAACCTCTTCTCACACTGGAGGGACCCCTTTTACCTCACATTACACAGGAGAGATACCCCTTACCTCTCCCCACATAAGAGGGGATCTCTCTACTTCCCACTAACACAGGAAGGGCAACTTCTGTCTCTCTCAGCACAGAAGAGGACCTCTCTACCTCTCACCACACAGGAGAGACCCCTCCTCTCCTCTCTGCACAGGAGGGATTCCCTCTACTTCTTGCCACACAGAACTGTATCCCTTTACGCCCTCCCCACACAGGAAGGACCACTTCTATCTCTCCCAGCACAGAAGGGATCCCCTTCCACATTTTGCCACAAAGGAGAGACCACCTCTCTCTACTATCTACACAGGAGGGACCCCCTCTACCTCTCCTCAGATATGAGGGGACACCCCAACTCTCCCTACACAGGAGGGAACTACCCCCTCTCCTTATATAGGAGGTACTCCTGCTCTCCTTACATGGGAGGAACTCCCCCTACTTCTCCATATACTGGAGGGACCACCCCTACTTCTAGGAGGGAGAGACACCCTACTGCACAGGAAGAAACCACATGCCCCCTCATGGGCCACAGTGCTCCCAGGAAGCTCACAATGTTCTCGGGCTAAATTCACTGGAATAGGAAATGTTTGAGACGATCTTTCTAGGATTTCCTATCCTCTGGGGTGGGGGTGGGGGTGTCTCCTGAGAAATGGAATAAATGAGACTGTGTATGCCTGTAAGGCTGCTTTCTCTTTAAATTGCTCTTGGGTTCTCTCTCTCTGTCTCTGTCTTTCTCTCTCTAACACACACACACACACACACACACATGCATTTTTTTCCTCTCAACACTTATGATGTTGGTTTTTTTAGGTACCACTGAGTTGGAACTGACCCATAGCTGATTCTCCAACAGGTTTTCAGTGGTAGTAAATTGCACAGGGCTTGATTGCCCGTCTTTCTCCTGGAGAGCCAGAAGGTAGATTCAAACTATTCTTTTGGGTTGGTAGTACAACTCTTGACCTTTAATCCACCAGAGCTCCCTAAATTTTATAAAATCAGACATTATGTGATTTGGACCTGGTGTGAACACCTTGGAAATCCCTGCTTCTGGTTGTCCGTGTCATTTATGCTGGAGGCTGGAGGCACAGCAGTGCAGCAGCTAAGCAGGCAGAGGTGGAAGAGGGGTGAGCAGAAGCAAGGGAAGGGAGTGTGCCCAACTGTGTCTGCTGTTCTGACTGCTTCTCCCCCTGACGCACCATGAGAGGCCCAGGCCGCCGCCACCATCTATGCTCTGCCTGCCTCACTTGCCATGTCCCATTTCTGGTCCAGGGCTGAAGGAGTCTTAGTTTGGGTTTTTTAAATCCTTGTGGGAGCTCTGGGAGTTGTGTTATTTTCCCACAGGGGGCACATCTAGCAGTTTGAATCTAGGAGCATGAGGAAGAAGGATGAGCCATCCCCAGACAATTTACAGTCTCCTGAAAACCCACTGGAGGATCATCTATGATTCAGTTCAGATTCAACAAAAATGGATTGGAGTTGCTGGGGTTTGGTTTTTTTATTTTTTTTAGAGAACCTATAGAAGAGAGTTGCTTTCTCTTCAGATAAACATACACTTTATGCACCTTATGGGACCACAGATATACACGCAGTCAGACATTGCCTGATTAGATGTTAGGCAAAGCAGTTCTTTATATATAAAGATAAAGAGAGAGCTTGATTTCAAGGGTTGGCTTGTGTGATTGCCAGGTGCAGTCTTGGGTCTGGTGTTAGTAGAGTTGTCATGGGGTGGCCAATTAGTCAGGATGGCACGAAGCAAAACCTTCTCCCTTAGGTAACCTTGTTGTTGTTGTTGTTATGTGCCATCGAGTCGCTTGAGACTCATAGCAACCCTATGTACAACATCCATAAACTTTGCTCTGTCCTGTGCCAATCGCACCGTCTCTGACACATCCATCCCGATTACCCCAGTCACTGAATCAATCCATCTCATAGATGGTCTTCCCCTCTTGCGCTGTCCCTCCACCCTACCAAACATTATGACCCTCTCCAGGGACCTGTCCCTCCTTACAACATGTCCAGTATGTTAGATGGAGCCTTAGAATCCTTGCCTCCAAGGAGCAGTCTGGTTTGACCCTTTCCAGGATGAATCTGTTTGTTTTCCCAGCAGTCCATGGTATCCTCAATACTCCTCTCCAGCACCACAGCTCAAAGGCATCAATTCTCCGTCTATCCTCCTTAGTCATTGTCCAACTCTCTGATGCATAACAAGTGATAGCAAAGACCATGGCCTGTATCAGACACACCTTAGTCTCCAAAGAGACACCATTGCTTTTCAGTACTTTAGAGAGGTCCCTAACAACAGACTTTCCCATGGCAATACGTCTTCTAATTTCCTGGCTGCTGGTGCCGAGAGTGTTGACTGTGGAGCCAAGCAAACTGAAGCTGTGAACAATCTCACTCTCTTCACCATCCATCCTGATGCTGCCAATTGGCCCAGTGGTTAGAATCTTTGTCTTCTTGACATGAGCCTCAATTCATATTGGAGGCTACAGTCCTTGACCCTGTGCAGCAAGCGCTTCAGGTCCTCCTCAGTTTCAACAAGCAGGGTTGTATCATCTGCACATCATAGACTGTTGATAGATCTTCCACCAATCTTGACCCCACATTTCTCCACATAGAGCACAGCCTTCCGGATAATCTGTTCTGCATACAAGTTGAAAAGGAATGGAGACAGGACACATGCCTGGCATACGCCCTTCCCAATTTTGAACCGTGCAGTGTTTCCTTGCGCTGTTCTGACAGCCTTTTGGTCCAAGTATGGGTTTCTCATTAGCACAATCGAGTGTTCTGGTATTCCCATTCTTCTCAGAGGCAGCCACAGTTTGTTATGATCCACACAGTCAAACACCTTTGCATAGTCAGGGAACCTTAGATTTTGTTATTAAGGCCTTTGATTAGATGAGAGCCACCATGTTGTGGAGGGTGACCTGCTTTACTGAGGCCACAGACTGTCAATACTTTTCCAGCAACAGCTGGACTGTGGTCTGACCAAACTGCTGGACACCTTGGCCAGGGCAAGGTGATGCCTAAGAGTAACCCCCGTATTTCTACGGAGCACATTCACCCCACCTGGGGTCGGCCTCGCTGTTCCATTGCAAGGGTTTGGGGACCTGTAGTTTTGAGTTCCTAGCATCCCAGGGACTGCCAAAACAATGAACAGGTGTGTCTTGGAGAAGTGCAGCCATAGTGCTCCATAGTGGCAAGGATGGCAAGGCTTCGTCTCACATACTTGGACATGTTGCTAGGAGAGACTGTTCCTTGGAAAGTAACATCATGCCTGGAAAGGTGGAAGGTCAGACATGCAGAGGAAGAATCAATACAATGGACTGACACAGTGACTGCAGCCCTGGGCTCCGGATTGTTGGAGATGAAGGTGCTGGCTCCAGAAAGGTAGGGTTCAGACCCTTTCATCAGGGTGCTAGGAGTTTTTCTTGACTTGACAGCACAGCAGATTCCCAGTAGCCTGGGAGCAACAATAGAAAAGAGAGAGAAGTAAGGGGGGCAAAGGAACATCCTCTGAATCATGAAGAATGGGTGAAACATGATTTTCTTCATGGGGGTTTAGATATTATTATGTCTTTTCAAACTCTGCTACTAAGAGCTAGGGAGCTCTGGTGGCCTAGTGGCTAAGAAGTTGCGCTGTAATTCCCAAAGCACATGGTTCAAATCCATCAGCTACTCCCTGGGAGAAGGATGGGCAGTCTCCTCCTGTGTGATTTAGTGCCTCTGAAAACCCGCTGGAGAGTCAGCTATGTGTTGGTTCTGACTCAGTGATTCAATAGTGTGCAGCAGCAGCAGCAGCAGCAGCAGCAGCAGCACAGCAGCAATTACATGCTGGAATCCCTGGAAGTGCTGTGAAGACCACTGATGTGTGCTGCCTGCATTGGGAGCTCACCAAGAGTAAGGCACAAGGATCCCTTGTCCATGTCCTCATCCAACTAGGACAGTCCCTTCTGCCCTTCACTATTGAGACCTCCCTGAAGTGCATGGCCCCAGGGCCACCCCAGGCCTTCAAGTGCTTGTGCTGAGGGCATTTCTGCTGGGGGTGATAGCCACCTGGGGTTGATAGAGCTCCATTCCTGATGTTGCATTCTGACACAAGCCTCCAGGAGTCCAAATGTTGTAAAATCAATGACGGCTTTTTCCTGTTGTGAAATTCCAGTCAAGGTGGTGAGCACAGGCCTGTCCTCTGCTGGCTAAGTTAAGCCTTGCCTGGCACTGTGTTTGGTGGGCTTCCAGCTTCTCTGTGGTCCCTGCAGCCTTGGGCTTGCCCCTGGGAGGCAGTCTGTGGGTGGGGGTCCTCGGCATGGAAACTTGGTGCCTCCCTTTCTCTCAGTGACAACAGCTATATGCAGCATCACGGGGTCCTGCAGGAGGGACTGAGACTTTCTGAGAGAAGGATAGGTTAGCGAGGGGCAGATGGTAGACCAGGGACTGAGGAAGAGGCAGGCAGACTGGCATATCCCCCACACATGGCAGGGGTTGAGCTGCAGTTGAGCAGCATGGAGTTTAGCCTAACGATGTTACTTACTATAAAGATCCCAAGTGCACTAGTGTCAGGCAGAGAGGACCTGGCCACCCTACATCTCCCTGGCTCACTTGAGCCCATTGCTCTCAGTTTGTAGGAAGTTCTTGCTGATCCATCCGGAGGAGCGAGGCCGCCTATGGGAGGTGGAACCCCCGGGGGCATGGGGCCAGCGGGTCAACATATGGCTCAAAGTTCAGCTGCAGCAGAGCCACCTTCTGGAAAGTGAGTAGAGGCTGGAGGAGAACTCTGTCTAGTGCCCCATTAGCAACACATGTTCACTTACCCCGGTCACACCAGACCCTGTAGTCGAGGCAATGAACATGCTCCGCTGATGACTGAAAGGTGGGAGGATCAAGTCCCCCCAGAGGTGCCTCATGAGAGTGCTCTGGTCATCTACTTCTGCAAAAGCAGAGCTGGAAGCCCCTTGTGGCCAAACCTCAGACCCACAGTGCTGGGTGTCTATGAACTGAAGCCCACTCCAGGGTCACCCTATGTGGCCCATACTGCAAGTCCACACTGCTGGGGTCCCCACAAGCTGAAGCCCCCTACAGGGGGGAGCTGTGCATGGTCCAGAGCTGAGGACCCACAGTGCTAGGGTCCCCAAGAGTTGAAGCCCCCTCTAAGGGGTATCCTGTGTAGCTCAGAGCTGAAGACATGCAGTACTGGGGTTCCCAAGAGTTAAAGTCTGCTTTAGGGGTGTCCTATGCAGCCCAGAGCTGAGGATCCACAGTGCTGGGGCCCCTAAAACTTATAGCCCACTCCAGGGGAGCCTTGTGCTGCACAGCTCTGAGAACCATAGTGTTGGGGCCTCCATGACCAGGAGCCCACTTTAGGGATGCCCCATGTAGCCCAGACCGGAGGACTCACAGTGCTGGGATTCACCCAAGAGCTGAAGCCCACTCCAGGGTTGCCCTCTGCAGTCCAGTGTTGAAGTCCCACAGTGTTGGGGCCCCTAAAGACAGAGCCTCCTCCAAGGATTTCTGGGAGCAGAGAATGGTGTGTGACAGGAGTGTGGTAGGGAGGTGCCCTGCTTGACCTCCCTGGAGAAGCACACATGTGGCACTTATTCAATATCATCTTCCCCAGCTGTGGGGCTAAGACACCCCTGTCACAGTTAGAATGGGCCACTGAGCCACATAAGTATACATGTTTCTTCTGTAAGGTGAAAATCTGCTGAAAACATTATTTCTAATAGGTAAGCTATGTTCTTGGTTGGAAATTCAGAAGACTCAGGTGACACGTGGCCACCAGGTCCCCATTCTCTTTCATTTCTTGTTTCATACTGCCTGGCCCCTTCAGTGGCAGTGGCTTGTGATGTTGTGAGTGTGCGTGTGCACCAGGCAGCCTTGCTGGTGGACACACACACACACACACACACACACACACACACACACTATCACACATTCTTGGTCATTGTGGGATGTGCCTTGGTGAGCATTCCAGTAGGTCTTGGTGGATTATTTTTACTGAGGGATGAGAAATGGGTCTCTCAGTGGATGTCCCTGAGAGGTAGACGTAGAAAGTCCTTCAAATGGCCGGAGGGACTGTGGGGCTCAAATATGTGTGTCCCTGGGTTTTCATTGCCTTTCACAGTGTTCTGCCCCCTTCTCCCAGGTATAGAGAGGATTGCATGAGGACATCCCCTCTTGGAGCTCAGTCACAGGCTGGGTGGGACCGAGCTTGGAGATCCAGACAGAGATAGATTGATCCAGACTTGGGGCTCCAGACAGAGGTGGGCTGGGCTGCACTTGGGGTTCCAGACAGAGGTGGGTGTGAGGTTCCAGGCTGAGCTGGGCTGGGCCAGCATTAGAGACTGAGTGGTGCGCAGAGCAGGGCCCCTGGGCTACAGGAGCTTCATGTTGGGGGGAGGTGTGAGATCTGCTCACAGTCTTTGGAGCCGCCCCTGCTGGTTGTGGAGCTCCGTCTTTTGGTGTGACATCTTGTTAGGCTTGCAAGTGGACAGTGGATTGACTCATGTGGTGACAGGAAGAGTGCCTTATAGGCTATGGTAAGTAATAGTGGCAGGTTTTACCTCTGTGCTACCTTTCACCTGATAAGGCTTGGTGGATCCTTCCAGACAGTAGGCTGGTTGTGCACCTGGAATGGGGCTGTGCCTGTGACACTAGTGAAGTTGTTAAGTGGCTGTCTTGTGACATAGTGAGGGAGAATTACAAAAGGAAGGGGGCATTCCCTGAGCTGATTATAGACAGTGTGTGTATGTGTGTGCATATGCATGTGTATGTGCACATACCTCTATAAATGAATATGCACTATCATGTGTGAATGTGCATGTGTGTACACATGTTTCTATATGTACATGTATATCCATCCACATATGTGTATATGTATATCCATCCACATATGTGTATATGTATATCCATCCACATGTGTGTATATGTATATATGCACATGTGATACACATATACACATATAATATGTATATATGTGCATGCAGGGACACACATGTGTTAGTGTGCATACATGTATGCACGTGAGCATGAACACATATGTATGTGTGCACATCTATGCACACACGTGTATATATGTGTTGTGTGCATACATGTGTGTATGTGTATGAGCATGCACATATATGTATGTATGCACATCTGTGTGCACATGTGTATATATGTGCTTATGGGAACATACATGTGTGTTAGTGTGCATACATGTGTGTATGTGTGTGAGCACACACTTATATGTATGTATGCCCATCTGTGTGCACACGTGTACATATGTGCATGTTGGAACACATGTGTGTTAGTGTGCATACAGGTGTATATATGAGCATGCACGTATGTGTATGTATGCACATCTGTGTGCACAGGGGTATATATGTGTGTTAGTGTGCCCACATGCATGTATGTGTATGAGTGTACACATACGTGTATGTATGCATATCCATGTGCATACACATATGTATGTGTGCATGTGAAAGAGAGAAGAGTCAGAGGATGAGAATGCTTCACACACAGTGCCCCCTGCATGCTTTCCCCTCTGCTGGCTGGGGTGGCAGGAAGAAGACTGACTGCTGGTTCCCAAGAAAGTGAACGTTCACCACAAGAGCCAGGGAGGGTGGTGGGCATTTTGTTGGCTCATTGCTGAGATGACTTTTCCTCCAAGCGGAGCTCCACTGGGAACTGGATTTATCTGTTTTCAGGGAACCAACCCGGATGAGCTGGATGCCAAGGACCAGACCTATCCTTTTAACTTGCTCTGAGACTTTCTGCCTCTCACTTAAAGATGTCAAAATGAAGGGACCTTCATCAAGAAAGTTCTAGAAGCATATTTGAGACTATTAAAGGATAAGAAGAGGCATTTTTATAGTTAGGATTACTACTGGTACTCATTGCTATCAAGTTGGAACAACCTCTCCAGACAATTTTGAGGTTGTAAATCACATAGGAAGAGATTATTCATCTTTCTTCTTTAGAACAGCTGGTAGATTTGAACGACTTGCCTTTGGGTTGGCAGCACAGCTCCCTATGACCAGGGCACCAAAACTCGCTATATCCTATGTTGTTGCTGTTGTTATGTGCCATCGAGTCACTTGTGACTCATAGCGACTCTATATACAAAGCCCTAAGCCTTGCTCTATTATGTGCCAACCTCATTGTCTCCAACACACCTACTCCCACTACCCCAATCACTGAATCAATCCATTGAGGGTCATCCTCTCCGTGCTGTCCCTCCACTCTTCCAAACATGATATCCCTCTCCAAGGACTGGTCCCTCCTTGCAACATGCCCAAAGTATGTCAGATGAAGCTTCAGAATCATTTCCTCCAAGGAGCAGCCCAGCTTCACCCTCTCCAGGAAAAACCCATTTGTTCTCCTAGCAGTTCATGGTATATTTAACATTCTTCTCCAATACCACAGCTCAAAGGCATCAATTCTCTATCATCCCTAGTCACTGTCCAGCTCTTTGATGCATAACAATTACAAAGACTATAGCCTGGATTAGGTGCACCTTAGTCTCCAGACTGATGTTGTTGCTCTTTAGTACTCTGGAGAGGTCCCTGACAGCTGACTTTCCCAATGCAATTCATCTCTTGATTTCCTGGCTGCTGGTACCAAGAGTGTTGACTGTGGAGCCCAACAAACTGAAACTGTTAGCTATCTCAATCTCTTCACCATCCATACTGATGCTGCCAGTTGGCCCAGTGGTGAGAATCTTTGTCTTCTTGATGTTGAGCGTCAATCCATATTGAAGTCTGCAGACCTTTTGCAGCAAGCGATTCAGGTCCTCTCAGTTTCAGCAAGCAGGGTTGTGTCATCTGCATAACGCAGATTGTTAATGAATCTTCTACCAATTCTGATGCCACATTCCTCCTCATACAGCCCAGCATCTTGGATGATCTGTTTTGCATGCAGATTGAAAAGGTATGGAGACAGAATACACCCTCGGTGGACACCCTTCCCAACAACTGCCTCTTGGTCCAAGTAGAGGTTTCACATAAGCACAATCAAATGTTCTGGGATTCCCATTCTTCTCGGAGTCAGCCACAGCTTGTTGTGATCCACACAGTCAAAAGCATTTGCATAGTCAATGAAGCACAGATAGATATTCCTCTGGTACTCTGCTTTCTGCCAAGATCCATCTTACATTAGCTATAATATTCCTAGTACCACGATTCCTTCTAAAGTCAGCCTGTACTTCTGGCATTTCTCTGTTGACATTGTTACTCCATCTGTTTTTTGGTAATTTTCAGCAGAATCTTACTTGTATGTGATATTAATGATATTGTTCGATAATTTCCGCACTCTGTTGGGTTACCTTTCTTTGGAATCGGAACAAATATTGATCTTTTCCAGTCTGTTGGCCAGCTGGCTGTCCTCCAGATTTCTTGGCACCACTTAGTGAGCACATCCAGGGCAGTGTCTGTTTGTTGAAATAATTCATTTAACACTCTACTCAAAGCATCCTTAAATATTACCACTTGTGGCTTGAATTTGTTTTTCAATTCCTTCAGCTTAAGAAATGCTGAGCGAGTTTGGCCCTTTTGATTTGCTAACTCCAGCTCTCTGTACGTATAGTATCTTGCTTTGTTGTCTCGAGCTGCCCTTTGAGATTTTCTGTTCAGCTCTTTAATTTCTTCCTTTAGCTTTGGCTTCTCAGCTCTCTATGCAATATTCATTCTCACCTGACATCTATCTTGGTCTTTTCATCCTCCTCAGCCTTTGCAATGATCTTTTGCATTCTTCATAGATGATATTCTTGATATCCTTCCACA